TGAGGGGTGCGGCGAAAGCCGGCGGCGCTGCCCCCCTCGGCTCTTTGGGGTCACTGGAGCGTTCACAGTGAAGGGCAACAAGGCTCTGAAAGGATTCGAGAACATGTCTTGCGAGGAGCGGCTGAGGGAGCTGGGTTTGCTTAGTCTCCACCAAGGGAGGCTTAGGGGTGACCTCATCGCTCCCTACACGTCCCTGACAGGGGGCTGTAGTGAGGTGGTTTCAGTTGTACAGTTGTACAGGAGTACAGTTTCTTCTGCGGTGTCTACCGTGAGAGGACCAGAGGAAATGACTTTAAACTGGGACAGGGGAGAGAGAGTCGGATTAGCGATTACAAATTTTTTCTCACTGTTGGGGTGGTCGGGCATTGGAATCAGTTGCCCAGGGAAGCGGTGGAGTCATTCTCCGTTTTCTAGAGGTATCTGGTGCTGGGTGATGTGTTTTGGTGGTTTATGGGTTACAGTGGTGGTGCAGGGTTGCCGGTTGGGCTGGATGATTTTGAAGGTCTTTTCAACGTTGATGATTTGATGAGGGCAGCGGGGAGATGGCTGTCCCCTCACTGCCAAAGCTCAGGGGGTGGCGGGGTGTTTGTGGGCTGCTGCCCGGTTTGGGTTTCAGGGGAGGGGATGGAGTGGGTGGTTTGTGGGGTGGGTTTGCTGCCCTTTGTGAGGGGATCTTGACACGCTGTGAAGTATGCAGGGGAATCCTGAGGAATGAAATCCTGGCCATAGGTGGGTATAATGCTGGTTAACACCAGGGAGAGCAGCTCAGTGGACAGGTACACAATTGGAATCAATGACAGAAATAGCTGATTTGCTATAAAACTGCATGGCAGCTCTGAATAGAGACTAMCTTTTTAACATTGGGAGAAATGCCAGCAAGCAAATCCTACAAAACAGGGAGATCCTCCTCTTTGCTCTCAGACTTTCCCAGTTGAATGTGCAGCTGGAGATGACATGTTCTGTTATTGAGATGAGTTCTTCTTTCTAGTTCATTTGCATGATTCCACATTTATACTTGACACTAGTTTTGTGATAATTTGTAGCATGCATAAATCAGATTTCTGTTCCTGAGRTAAGTTCAGAGCTGAAGCGAGAGATGTATGTCTTGTTTATTTTTASTTAATATTTTGGCTGCATTCACAGAAAACTTGTTCGGTTTGTTGTTTTCTTTTTTTTTTAATATGCTGCCACCCATGATTCCTCCTTGTAAGAAACATATTTATTTTGGCTGCGTTGTGAAACAGCAGGCAGAAGTGTATTCTTGCAGTTGAAATTCACTCCTCTCTTGTAGGCACGGAAGGTCCTGGTGTCAGTGTCTCSGAGGAGAGGCAGAGTCCTGCTGAGAGCAGCGCTGTTACCGTCATCTATAACCCCTATGCTTCCCTCTCCATTGAACAGCAAAGGCAAAAGCTGCCTGTGTTTAAGGTACAGAAGTTCTTTTTGACATATTAAATGTGTTTTATGAAGTGTCTTTTTTTTTTTTTTGAAAGGGCAGTATAAAATCACTTCGCAACATAAAATAATAATTTTATGACTTTGCTCTCTATCTATTGGAATTTATTGTCCTGTTTGACAACTGTAACTGACACTTTTAAAGCCTTTGTTGATGTATGTTATTTTCTATATGTTGTACATGTCAGTTATAATTTTTATAGGACTGTTTAGCATTTGGCAGTGAACTCCATGTAACAAGAAGTTACCGTGTTTGCCAGATATGTAAATATTGTAATTTTAATTGTTTCCTTCTTTTTGTACAATCTACTTTTTATGTTTAAATGGCATTTTCTCTTTCAGCTGAGAAATCACATACTTTACCTGGTGGAGAACTACCAGACTCTGGTGATAATCGGAGAAACGGGAAGTGGGAAATCAACGCAGATTCCACAAGTAAGTGTCTGTTTAGGTTGGTAAAATCAGATATTACCTCAGGGGATTTGACATGAAATATTAAACAGAACCAGGAAAAAAACCACAAAATGTGAGGAACTAGCACCTTGCTGTAACTACAGCATGACCAATGCCTCTCTTATCCCCATTATTTTTTGCAGTACCTGGCAGAAGCTGGCTGGACAGCTGAAGGAAGAGTTGTTGGGGTGACACAGCCTCGTCGGGTCGCTGCTGTTTCAGTGAGTGTCCCAATCTTCCCAGTCTGTTGTTAYTATAATCCCCAGTTCATTTCTGAATAGCAGCAATGTGCACGAGCTCCTGAATGAATAGATGTTTCTGCTTATCTTTCTCTAAGAGTTGCTGGTGTTACACACTGAATTCAACCTGATTAGAGGGTCTTGCCAAACATTCCAACTCCAGAAYTGCAGATGTAGAAGCTTTGAAGTAAAATTGAGTGATGTCAGCAGAACTGTGTGCGGAAGTTAGGGCTGAGTTGTGATTGACTCAGGACTAGAACTGTGCTTGTGTGACCTTCAAATTCTTTCCCAAGGTGAAGCAGTGATGTAAGTCTGCGTACAGTAATGCAGCTAGTGGAAGAAAGAAGAGGATGTGTACCTCTTTCTAGCAATTCATAACTAGTTTTTTAATATTTTTTTCTGTATTTGTGTTTTGTTGTTATGGGGTGCGTTTGTTTTTTTTTGTTTACCCTTGTAAAAATGTCAGGCAAAAGAAGAAACAATTTTATTGTGAGAAATCTTTGCATATACATAGKATGTCTTGGAGAGCATAATGTCAGCTGCATGTGCTATGAGGTGGGAARGAGGAAATGCTGAGGGCAACGGCTTCTCCTCTCTGGTAGCACTGTGCACAGAAAGCATCCTGTGCTCCTTGTGTTCACAGCTGCTGCCATGCATTGACTTGGAGGGTGAAGTTTCTACTGCAGCACTGTTTTTGTACAGAGAACTGAGGTGCCAGTTTATAACCATCATTTTGCCTGTTCTGTATAATGTAGTAAGTGGCATCTACAAGAAATCAGCATCTGCCTCTGATAAAAAAGCAATAGATTGAGCATCTGTACCACTTGCTGTTTTACCTCCTCCAGTATTCTTTGACCAGATCCAGCCTGGTTAAGGGAACAGTCTCTAGCAGTGCTCTGCATTTTGGGCAGTCTGCCTGCAGTGTCCTCCCTTTTCTCCTTCATAGGGCATCCAGCTGACAGAGCACA